GCCAAGCAGAATAGACTTCCATTTCAGCCTAGTAGCAATAAAACAGAGCAGATTTTCCAAGTAGTGCATGTAGATGTTTGGGGTCCTCACAGGATACCAACATATGATAAGAAACATTACTTTGTAACACTAGTTGATGATTTTAGCAGATATACTTGGATATGTTTGCTGCAGTCAAAGTGTGAAGTGTTTGTTGTGCTAAAGGATTTTTTTGCTATGGTACACAACCAGTTTAACTGAATGTAAAGAAATTAAGATCAGACAATGGCACTGAATTCTTTAATTCTAAATGTAGTGAATTAATGAGTTCATTGGGGATAGTGTATCAAAGCAGTTGTCCATACACACCCCAACAAAATGGAGTGGTAGAGAGAAAACACAAGCACATATTGGAAGTAGCCAGAGCATTGAAATTTCAGAGCTCATTTCCAAATAGATTCTGGGGTGACTGTGTTAGGACAGCAGTTTACTTGATAAACAAATGGCCAACTTCTGTTTTATCAGGAAAGTCACCTTATGAGATGCTCTATAAGAAGACAGCAAGAATTGACCATCTTAAGGTTTTTGGATGTTTATGCTTTGCAAGCACTCTGCCTAGAGGAGACAAGTTTGCACCAAGAGCAAGGAGAGCTGTTCTGATAGGCTATTCAGAGACCCAGAAAGGTTACAGACTATATGATATGGAGAATAGAACATTTCTAGTAAGCAGAGATGTTGTGTTTAGAGAACATGTATTTCCTTTCAAAGGGATGGTTTCAGATTTAGAAGATATACTCCCACAAGATCCTCCTGCATTAACACCTATTGATATCCAACCCCATCCCACACAAACTGAAAACATACTTCCAAATATCACACACACAGAACCACAAGAGCATTTGCATGAGGCATTGAATAAGGAGAGTATAGATCAGTTGCAACCACTGAATCAGGAAGAAGCAGACACTAGTATGAGTTCAGATTCCTTAGCTGCAGATATAGTTGAGGAAACTGAAGAAACCTCACCAGCAGAAGAAGTAATGAATGTTAGAAAATCAGTAAGAACATCTAGACCACCTATATGGATGAAGGACTATGTGGCACCAGGGAAATTCACAGGAAACAGCTTATATCCTATCTCTCAAGGACTCTCATATGTTAACCTCACTACAAGATATCAATCATACTTAAAGGCTTTCTCAGCACACATTGAGCCTAGCTCTTTTAAGGAGGCAGCACATGATGACAGGTGGATTGAGGCAATGCAACAGGAGATAGCTGCACTAGAAGAGAATAACACATGGGAACTGGTAGACCTGCCACCAGGAAAGCAGGCTATTGGGTCAAAATGGGTTTATAAAATAAAGCATAAAGCAAATGGAGAGGTAGAAAGGTTCAAGGCCAGGTTAGTAGCAAAGGGATACAATCAGAAAGAGGGGTTGGACTATCATGAGACTTTCTCTCCAGTAGCAAAGATGGTAACTGTTAGAACCATCATTAGCATTGCTGCAGCAAGAGGATGGGATTTGCATCAAATGGATGTGAATAATGCTTTCTTACAAGGGGACTTATATGAAGAAGTATATATAGGACTACCACAAGGGTTCCATAAACAGGGGGAGAAGAAAGTATGTAGATTGCTGAAGTCACTTTGTAAGACAGAAGATCAAGTTTGGGCTCCTCACACCACATCATATTAGTTCAACAATGCAACTTGCAGATTTGCTCACTAAAGGATTGTCTGCAGCTCAACATCATTCCTTAGTTTCCAAGCTTGGAGTGTTGGATGTATTCCAACCTCCAGCTTGAGGGGGAGTGTTGAATAATTAATTAGTGATACTAGATAGTTAGGGGTATTTTAGTCTTTTTACCCTCATCACACATGTATCTGGTGTGAGAGGTCTTGTATTAAAGGCAGTTAACACTGCACCGACCTACACTGTAGTAATAACAAATTTCTTTCTTCCCTTAGCTGCTCCCTTCTCTTGCTCATCATCTTCTTCTTCTTCTCAATCACATGCAATATCGATTTAGTGTGAATCTCTACTGAGATTTTGTCTATATATATATATATATATATATATATATATATATATATATATATATATATATATATATATATATATATATATATATAT